GAAGTCGCAGAATTAGAAACTCTGTCACCAGTCTCCCAAACTTAGGTCATAGGCTTTCTAGATTTTAAGTCACAGGCATTTTTCATATCCAGCTTTGTGAGGCAGAGTGGGCTCTTAAATATATGAAAAGAAAAAGGAGAACCTGAAAAAGAGAAAACTATAAAAAGAACAGACTTGTTGATCATGCTGAATGGATTGATCAGAAGAGATTCACCAAGGGAAAACCCTGAATTAATCACACATTTCAATACACCTGAACCTGCTTCACAAGTGTAAAGGAACCATAAATTCATAGGAAACAGAATGGGAAATTGGGAAAATCCGCTTTGGGAGGAAGCTGATATGGACTGGAATTCTGATTCATCCAGGCCTTTACACATTTACAATGGGGTACACATCGTAGGGTTCTTTTTTTTTTTTTTTCTGTGGAATCTTTTTTTTAAAATTTTCTTATCATTAATCTACAATTACATGAAGAAAGAACATTATGTTTACTAGGGCCCCCCTTCACCAAGTCCCCCCAACAAACCCCATTACAGTCACTGTCCATCAGCATAGTAGTTGAGTAGGGTTCTTTTAAGAATTCATTCAAAATGCTTTGTTTCATGGATGAGGCCCAAATCTTCAACAACAATAAAATTGTGGCTTACTAACATTAAGACATTAACATTAAAAAAATTTAACAGTTTACTGGACATGAGGAAGTATGTCAAAAAAATTTGCTGAGAATATGTGCATAACTCCAGGGGGGAAATCCCGGGGCAAAATAACTTTGAAACAAATCAGTCAAAGGGAGAAATAACGTGGGAGAAACCAGTTTATTGACTGCAACCCTGTGTCCATTTCCAACCCTGCTGCAAAAGAAGAGGCCTCCACCCAACCTCTCCAGTCCAGATAAGCCCTCGCCAGTCACTGTAAATACCTATTGATATGGAGATGGACTACTTCTTTCCACCCCTTGGAAATACCTTTTGTATGGAGATGAACTAAAGCCAGGTGAGAGATTCTGGAAATATTGCAATTTTACCCACAATGTTCTTCTGCGAAGTGCCTGGCTTTAATGCTTAACGCTTAGTATCTAAAACAAAAGTCTGATCTGTGCTCTGTAGGGCAAGCATTGTACATCTGCTTTGCATCTGAATAGTTTCATGAAATTACGGCGTGCTTAGGTAATGATCCAAAAAATATCCTGTACCTTTAATTTCTGTATGTATTAATCTGCAAAATATAACTGTTGACATCCTGACATATGTCCTTTGTTAGAAAGCGTGTATATAACCTTGAAAGAAAGCTCTCCTCTCTGGAGCACTTTTCTTATTCAGAAGGACTGTTTCCTGGGCAGCTGTCCTAAACCTGGGCTTATATAGAACTCTAATAACACTTTTGTGGAGTTTTACTCTAGGATTTTCTTTTTGTTGACAAATCAAAGGCAATTAAGATACTGTCTCTGATTTTTTTAAATTTTTTCTTTTGGTATCATTAATCTACAATTACATGAAGAACATTATGTTTACTAGGCTCCCCCCTTCACCAAGTCCCCCCCACAAACTCCACTACAGTCACTGTCCATCAGCGTGGTAAGATGCTGTAGAATCACTACTTGTCTTCTCTGTGTTGCACAATCCTCCCCGTGCACCCCCCAACATTACACATGCTAATCGTAATGCCCCCTTTCTTTTTCCCCACCCTTATCCCTCACTGTCTTTGATTTTTAAACAGTTTCTTTCAAAGAAAATGAGCACAGAGATAACAGTAACAAAAATAACTCATATTCACTGGGTCTTTAAAATGCTGTGGTGTTGCTGTAAACACTTTAGAAGGAATATCTCAGTAAGTGCTTACAACATCCCCAGGAGGTAGGCATTAATCCACTGTACAGATGAGGAAGCAGAGGCCCAGACAGGCAATAGTAATTTTTACCAGCTCACTCAGGAAGCAGCAGAGCTAGGATTCACCTCTGGGCACCCTGTTTTTGCACATCTGTAACTACCACGGTGGTTCAGGTCTCGATTTAGCCAACAGTTCATTTCTAGGAGCTGCTTTTTATGCTGCCCAGTTGTACCTCACAGGTGCAAATATAAAATAAATCCCTATGGCACCATGGGTGGATGATATGAATCACATTTAGATTTGACTACATTATCACCAAAGTGAGCTGCTTGCCTCGGGTCTTTCTCTCCTTATGGCCTTCCACACTCTCAGCAGTTATCTTTATAAAACATATGCGATCACGGCACACCTCTGCTTAATAGTCTCCCTGTCATCTGCAGAATTGTGTCTAAGAACTAGCATAGGATGCTTCTCCCAGTTGGCCTTGACCCTCCTTCCCAGCCTCTGCTTTGGACTGTCTGGCTCCTCACCCTACACTCTGACATAACACAGTTCTATATGGGGTTCCACAGTTAACCTCCTTTGTGGCAAAACAGAAGAAAAAAACCTTAGTCCATTTTTTTTTCATTCAACATTTTATTTATTATTAGTATTTTTTATTTTGGTATCATTTAATGTACAATTACATGAGCAACATTGTGGTTACCAGATTTCCCCCATTATCAAGCCCCCACGACATACCCCATTACAGTCACTGTCCATCATCATAGTAAGATGTTATAGAATCACTACTTGTCTTCTCTGTGCTATACTGCCTTCCCCTTGCCCCCCCCTACATTATGTGTGCTAATCATAATGCCCCCTTTTCCCCATATCCCTCCCTTCCACCCATCCTCCCCAGTCCCTTTCCCTTTGGTAACTGTGAGTCCACTCTTGGGTTCTGGGAATCTGCTGCTGTTTTGTTCCTTCAGTTTTTGCTTTGTTCTTATGCTCCACAGATGAGTGAAATCATTTGGTACTTGTTTTTCTCCACCTGGCTTATTTCACTGAGCATAATACCCTCTAGTTCCATCCATGTTGTTGCAAATGGTAGGATTTGTTTTCTCCTTATGGCTGAATAATATTCCATTGTGTATATGTACCGCATCTTCTTTATCCATTCATCTACTGATGGACACTTAGGTTGCTTCCATTTCTTGGCTATTGTAAATAGTGCTGCGATAAACATAGGGGTGCATATGTCTTTTTCAAAATGGGCTGTTGCATTCTTAGTGTAAAGTCCTAGGAGTGGAATTCCTAGGTCAAATGGTATTTCTATTTTGAGCTTTTTGAGGAAACTCCACACTGCTTTCCACAATGGCTGAACTAGTTTACATTCCCATCAGCAGTGTAGGAGGGTTCCCCTTTCTCTGCAGCCTCACCAGCATTTGTTGTTACTATTCTTTTCTATGTTGGCCATCCTAACTGGCTTGAGGTGATCTCACTGTGGTTTTAATTTGCATTTCCCTGATAATTATTTCCCTGATAATTACCATTTTTAATTTAAAAATTTTCCCTTACATTCTGTTCTTCTATTATAAAGTAAAAAGATTTACTCAAAAATTAAATTTAGAGGGAGGGATAAGGGGAAACGGGTATTACGATTAGCACACATAAAATAGCAGGGAGTGGGGGGCACAGGGAAGGCAGTATAATACAGAGAAGACAAGTTGTGATTCTATAGCATCTTACTATGCTGATGGAACAGTGACTGTAATGGATACGTGGTGGGGACTTGATAATGGGGGGAATCTAGTATCCATAATGTTGCTCATGTAATTGTATATTAATGATACCAAAATAAAAGAATTAAATTTAGAAAAGCAGTACAATTAAAAACAACGTGCACATACTATCACTTAAAAATATTTTTCATCTCCTGTCAAAGCTCTGATATTTTAGTGGAGGTTGTCTTCTAATGCTGTTTTCAATTGCCCCAGCGTATGAGGCTCTTTTTTCCCCTGGAATGCAACCCATCCCCTCCCTGACGGGACAAACTACTTACTATTCATCCTTTAAATCCATTTCAAATACCACCTCTCTGGAAAGTCTTTCTCACCAAACCTTTTACTCGGTCCATTTTTCCCTCCTCAGGGCTCCCAAACTTGGGAGTGTTTCTCTCCTACAGTATATTGTATTGCCTGTGACTACTTATTTATACAATAATAGACTGAGATCCTTTAGGGCAGGGTCCTAATCTCGCAATCCCTAGCTCTTAGCTTGGTGCTTGCCTACAGTAGGAACTGGAACGTTTATCACTGGATACATGAAGAAATAATCAGAGTCTAAAAGTCCCTACTCTCTTAGAGCTTGTAGGAAAACGTTTTTATACTGGACACGCCTTTGGACACATCATTTGATAAACCTGGCCCATACAGTTTGAGAAGTGATTTAAAATGAGCCAGGAAAGGTCCCAAGCGAAAGCATGTCCCTTAAACAGCTAGCAACCTTCTAAGTGTGACTTGTTCCCACACCATGCCTTTCCCACCAGCCTAGCCCCTGGAGCTAATTCTAGGATGGGGAGAATACTGTGTTCAAGATGGGTATTTTTCTCTGGCACTGCAGACCTTCTTTGATTTTTAGCAGTCAGGTCGTCCTCAGTTCAGTCTCCAGTTCTCCTGAGGCCCAAAGTCTTGGAGTCCCAACCCTTAACGCCAAGGAACCTCCCAGTCCGGATTCCCCCAGTGGCTTCTGAGAAGAGCCCCTCCAGCACTCCCACCCTCGGCCAGAGAGTCCCCGGCCCGGACGGCTTCGCGGGCGGCTACGGCCGCGCCCCGCGCCCGTGCGGAGAGCCGAGCCGGGGTAGGGTGGGGCGCGGGGCGGGCGGGGCTGCGGTTGGTCGGCCCCAGGGGCGTCCATCATCCCGGACAAGCCGGCGTCCCCGCACTGAGCGGCGTGGGCGCGAGACGGACAAGGGCAGGGGCGCCACCCCTTCTTGCCGCGCCCCGCCGGCTGGGCGTCGGGAGGCGCCGGCCGCGTGCGCGCCGGTAACTTCGCGGCCGCCGGGGGCGCGGCCCCTGCCGGCGCGCGTGCGAGTGCGCCTGTCCCCAACGGCCTCCGGGGGGCAGCAGCGGGCGGGGGACGAGGAGAAGGAGGCGGCGCGGAGTTCCGCGGGCGAGGAGGCAGAGGCCCCTCGCGGCGCCGGCTCAGGGGACCTGAACTCCGCCGGGGTTGCTCCCAGGTTGCGTTCGAAGGGCGGCAGCCGCGCTCGCCGCCAGCTGCGGGGACTCGCGTCCGGATTGCGCTGCCTGCTGCCGGCCTGGGCGGTTGCAGCCCCCTTTGCTGACCGAGGAGTGGCGGCCGCGGCAGCTGCATCCCCCGCCCGGCGGAACCCCCTGGGCGCCGGAGCGCGAAGGGAGGGTCCCGGCGCCGCCCGCCCGCAGCGGGCCCTCCGCGAGCGCCCGGGGCGCGTTCCTAACAATGGTGCGGAGCGTCGGCGCGAGCCCCGCGTCCGCTCAGCGGAACTAGAGGAAGTGGCCGGGCTCCGGGCCGGTGGCAGGGAGACTCCCCCGCTGCTCGCTCCTGGAGTCTGCCTGCGCGCCGGGCTTCGCCGGCCCCGAGCCCCAGGCTCCCGCCTGTATCACCGACGGCAGCTCGAGCCGGAGAGCATGGTGCCGGCGCCCGGGTTAATCTAGCCTCAGCGAGCTCCTTTTCCCTCCTCCACCTCCCATCGGTGCTGCCTCTGGGTGCGCGGCGTGTGCGAGCACAACTCTCTGCCTCTCCAAGGAGACGGGTTTGTGACCACCTAACAGAACTTGCCCATTGAAAGCAAACCCAGAACAGCTGGATAATGTCCACTCCGAGCAGATTCAAAAAGGACAAAGAGATCATAGCCGAGTATGAAAGTCAAGTCAAAGGTAAGGATGGGAGCGGCCGCCTGGCCCTTTTGTGTGCCTCCTTGTTATTGTGCTCGGGCAGTTGCATTTCTAACTTGGTGTCTGCGTTGGCGGAAGGTAGTGAAGGACAGCTAGAGCTCCTGGCTAAGTCACCGGGGCTGCCTTACAAGCCAGTCCCAGTCCCATTCCTTGTCCCGTCCAACCCACAGGGAGCTGGAAACCGGGTGGCTTTCCCCGACTGCCAGCGCGCACCTCCAGTGGGAAAAGAACTGGCTTCAACTTAAGCAACCTTCATTCAGCTGGGCAACTTACATGGGAGGCAGGCGGCAGCAGTGGTTCCTGCTCAGCTGTGCTCCTCTTCCTCATTATTCTTTTAAAATACTATCATTGTCAAAACATAATTTCTCTAAGGGGTTATTTTTCTGAAGTCTGGACGTCAAGGGGTCTACAGCTTCATTGAGTGCAGGCAATTCTAGACATTTCCACTGTTCACTATTCATTTATTAGGGCGAGTCCTCCTTTATAAAAAAGCTCCCTAAAAGCCTGGCAGTTCAGTCAAGCAGGGACTAGTGGAATCCGACTCCTCCTTTATAATGGACCAGAATCCAGTGCTATCTTTCACACTCACATGGGAATATTGCTTTATCGTTTGCTGGAAGCCACTTGCATGTAAAATGAAGGTTTGAATATTTAAGTAGTAGTTTCAGTCCATTTACAACGTCAACTGATGAAGGAACCGAATTAAGATTGGTTAAGAATTTTTACTTAACGCGCGTTGTGGTTTAAAAAATATTTTTTCTCTCCAGTGCAAGTGTTCTGTGTGCCGGTGAAAACGTTTAAGAAACATTTATGTTTGCGCTTTTTTTCTCTTGTGGTCTCTCACGGGTAGCTTTCCCTACTGAGACAATGGATGGAGTGTTGAGATGGTTACTATTCTTTGGAATATTCCATGCAAAGTTCATTAAAATTGCGATATAGACACCCACCTGCGTGTGTACAGCTACAGCCTTGTAAAAGGGCCCCTGAGAAAGGCATTCCTGTGCTGGCCTTGGAAAAGGCAGGAGCCGCCTGGGTGTTCTTTTATGTAATCAAGTTGTGAAAATGCCTGGAGTCAGGTGAGAGACCTGGTGAGGGAACCCTTTCTCACCCCAGTATGAATCTGGACCAACTCATCATGGCCAGCAGCGCACACAGCGTGCCCGCCCAGGGACTCAGGTTCCCTTTGGGCTGACCCCCGTAAGGGCGTTAAGCTGAGCATTGTTCAGGAAACACAGATGTTTGACTGCTTGTAATGAAAATAATTTATAGGGAAGTGGTTACATTGACATGGAAGTTAGAGTAGTAAAGAAGTAATTACCTTGGAGACAGGTAAACTTTCTAATAAGCATACACTTTCCTAATAAGTCCAACACAGCCTAAGTAAGACCTTTCACTCTGAGGTCGAGCTCATGGTCATAATCACCATTCCTCTGTGCAGTTTTTCCACGTGGCTCTGTGGTGGGTCCTGCAGGGCAGCCGTCTGGCCTGCAAGTGCTGGTTTAGTTATTTCTGCTCTGAGGTCATTTGTCAGTGATCAAGTGCTTATATGAAAAATACTGTCGTGAATGATTTCTTTAAGAGTATGAATTTTATAGCTATATAGTTACTTATATGCTTGAGAGTATTGGCCCCTAGACTGCTTAGAAATCAGTAAATGGGATGTGTTGCCGTGTTTAAAAGGTGTCATCAAATCTACTCCAAGGAAAAATTATGAACATGGTGAAGATTATTTTTGGAACAAATTCCATCCCCTAGAAAGGGATCTTTTCTCCATTTCCTTCAACTCTCTTCCCTTACACACACCCAAGGCTGCTTTATGACTCCTTATTACACCTCCCCTGCCCTTCTCATCAAGGCCTGTGTCCAGACTTTACCTACTTCCCCTGCAATACTTACACATCCTGTGTGTCTAACCCACATCATTATACCCATATGCAAAGGGAGGAGCAGGATAGTACAGTGGAGTCAAATCATACATACCCGTAGTGGCACAAATTCCCCTGTACTTGTAGGAAGCATCCAGAAGAGTGTAGGAGAGAAACGACAGTTAAGTAGTGCAAGAGGCCCTCTGGCCTAGGCTTCGAGGACGGGTTCCTTGGGAAGGGTAGCATGAGAGGCAGGACTCTGTTTTCTCACGGTTCCATTTCCTGAGTCCTCTTGAAGGGTGAGCATCCTCCCCTGGCAGGGTACTAGTCCACTACCTAAAGGTATGTGGTTTTGGAACAACCAACTCAGTTCTAGCCAGCTATTTCATCTGATGGTAAACAAAAGAAACATGGCCTATTTTATTTCTGCAGGAAAACCTAGCTGTGTTGGACTCATTAAGAGGAGACATAGGCCTGTTCCCAGTGACTAAAGCCACATATTTTGGACTCGAATGAGTTAGTGTGTGGATGATTCCAAGAGTCATTTTTGACTTTGTGTGATTCTTTACCTTTTGACTTAGAACCTAATGCTCTGGAGTATTGTCCTTTTTGATTCTCTCCCATTTCCTTAATATCAGTTGCATTTAGTTCAAAACTTGTGAGATCATGGCTTGATGTGAAGGAATGACTCCAGATGTGGGATTTTTGCTGCTGTGGCTTCCTGCACATATTTTGGGATCAGACTCCACAGAGCTATTCTCACCTGCGAGAAGTAAGACCATAGTGTATTTAGTTTAATTGTATCAGGAGGGGCAAGTCACTTAGCTCCTCTCAGGGTTTTAGTTTCTTACCTACAAGATAAGGGGGTTAGATTCTCTCAGTCCTAAGGGTCTTTGAATCTAATTGAAGATGTCATGTCAGTTCATATTTATCAGCAAAATGTTCAAGCTTTTTACATTTTCTCTTGGCTGCCCTGTTTTGGAGGGATCGCAAACACCAGGTATCATTTGAGTTCTCAGGGAATTCAAATGTAGTGCATTTAGGGAATACAGAAAGTAATAAAGTCATATTCAGAAAGTATAGCACAGAATTGTAAGGTGGGGAGAATTTGGAATTCTACAAGCAGTCAAAGAATACATAGGTTTAAACAGGGACAGAAGGACCCCAAGCAGTGATTTAGTGTGTTAGCTAAGAGGGGGAAAGACTGACTCTTCCATGCATGTTGGTCTGCTTTCTGAAGATTTAGAATCTAGAGAACTTAATCTCATGTTTGTGGGGGCCCTTACAAAGCAAGCTTATCTTGGGGGGAAAGGGGGAATGAAGGCAGGCTTGTCTGGAAAAGTGCATGACCTGCAAACCATTGACTATGTTACTTGTTAGCATCCCTGACAAGAAGCTTAGCAGTGGAGTAACAACTGGCTAACAGAAGGTTGGGGGATTATCTGTGAATTTGATCTATGTAATTTTGAATTCTGTAGCAAAGATATGGTGGAGCAAGTATAACAAAAACGGGTCCACATATGGGAATCAAAAGACAACATTTTGTGTGGTGGAGCTCATGATGAGAGGTTGTGTTTACTTTTAATAATAAATGTTGTTAGTTGCTAAGAATTAACAGCTATTATTTGCAGCATTTTCCCAGGGATAATTTCCTAGTCATCTACATGGCCATATGTACAGGAAGTGCCAAGAAAATCTGTTGTTCTTTGACCACTCTGCCGCCTGAACCACAAATACTACTTTTGATAGCAGATGGAGTATGAGGAAATGCCTGTTTAATTTGATAGTGACCACATGACATGCAGCAGGTTTCAATGGGGCAATTCAAAGTGCTGCTATCACTGATACGGAGCCTGTGTGTCCATCTAACGTCCTTTCATCTAACCTGGAGTGGAAGACAGCCACAATTTAAATTATGAATTAAAACTTCATAGCTGGGAGGGACTTTAAACATTTCCTGTCCAACCCACTCATTTACACGATGTAAGGAGACATAATGATAGACTTACACAATTAACGGTAACATCTGGTGCCAGAACCCAGGTCATCTGCTTTACAGTAGCAGCGATGTGCTTTCAGATTACTCACAGAGTAGGGGACAGAACCTGTTAGACTGAGGTAGATACCTGTTTAGACACTGCATTCATTGAAGGAATCATAGTCGGACTTAAAAAAGGATAGCAGCTCTGGTCTGTTAACAGGAAGAGTTAATTAAGCTGATTAACTGTAGCCAAGTTGGCTTTTTTCACCCAGATCATTTCAAGAAATTGCAGTGCCCAGGCAGCAGCTTCCCATGGTTGCCTCAGTAAGGTCAAGAGAAAAAACACACGGTGAGTGTGTACAAATGTGACTCGCTTGAAATTTTGGTCTAGTTAATTACAGCTACTGCAATAAATCTTGTTCTGTTGCCCAGAAACCTTGAGTAGCTTCATGAACTTCAAAATGTATTAAGGAATAGTTTTGGAGAAACTTTGTAGCAAAGCATGTCATTCTGAAATACAGTGAGGGTTGGGTAATACCACAGGATGGTGAATCTCAGCTCTGAGGATCTAGATTGGTTTGCCTACTCCTGTGCTGTGTTAACCAGTTTAGGAGCCACACATCCACAACTAAGTGTACCTGGTGGCTTGACAAGACCCTTGTCTTCCTTCACACTCCTGTTTTCATTTCAGCTCCAACAACTGAAAATTAACATAAAAGGGAGTAAGCTGTGTTACCACTCTATTTTTGTTTTAGTTTTTTAAAGATAGACATGAGGATTGGACACAGTTATTTCAAGACATTTTTTGTTATTTGAAGTCATTTTGGTTGGTCCTGAGTTACCGTCTAGCTTATTGACTGCATGTATGTGCTCTCCTGTTGAAGCCTCAAGATGGAGGAACTAGAACATAGTGTTTAAGAGCAGAAATGTTGGTGTGAGCCGTCCAGCCCTGCCACTAATTAATCACAGGTATGATCTCTAAGCATCAATATCTCCATCTGTAAAATGGGGATAATAATAGGACTTATCCCATTGTCTTTGTAAGGCTTCAGTGAGGTGATTTGTAGAAAGCATTTATCGCAGGCTTCACACATAAAATATAGTCAATAAAAACTAGTCCATGTTACCTGTTTAAT